AGAGTATTCTCTGAATATCAGCACCAGCCATTTCACTTTGAAGACTTCTGGAGCATTCTAGTTCTCACACAAGAAATTAAATCCTTAGATCCAGTTGTTGCACTATACTTTATTTAGTAACAGTGGAAAAATTTGGCCAAGAAGGCAACAGCCATTGCATTTCAAAGATTATTTCAGGTTTATAGACATTCCCTTAACTCTTCAAAATAAATATCATTATGTGTCCCCAATGAATACATTTATTAAGAAACTCCAATTCATACATTTAGATTATATGCATTTATTTATATAGAAATGGCAAAACAAGTGCCAGCTTTCACAGCTAGTTCACATGCAGTAGCTACTCCACTTAGTAGCTTTGCTGTCTGTTTATAAGAGCATTAGCCTGAAGGTATTCTAAGGTTAGATCATGAGACAATCGAGTCATTCAAATAGTCCCCATAGTTCACATGAATGAAAAAACATCTAAAAAAAGACTATAGCCAGCTTTTTATTGCTGCTGGAAAGGCAACAAAACAGTCCAGCCACAGTAAAATATCTGCAAAAAGAGGTTTGAGCCTGATGTCTATTGCTTTTCAAGGGATAAAGGCAAAATATGAATTTACATTGTTCAATGCCCAGAATTTCCAAATGTGTAAAACAGTATCTACATTAAATGAGTACAAGAATCTAATGTTGTACTAATCCGTGTCACCCCAGAGCATGTAACAATGTTCCAAGTTCTTCTCCAGGATTTCCTGGCTTTTCTGCAAAACCAGCACACTTGTAGAAATAGGGACAGAAATAGAAAAACTGATGAACCCAACTTATTTACAAATGCTCAAGCTTGTAACACCAGAAACTGAGAATCCAGTCTATTCAACACATCTGTATTGAAATTCCCAGTGCATTTATTATAAATATAGTGTATATAATAGTATATATAATATATATATATAATATATAATATATATATATAATAGTGTATATCCTTTTCAAGTCTCCAAGCAACACCACTGCCTGCACAGTTTCTTCTACACTTGCAAAAACTCTTAAAAGCAAACAAACCCCAAAAGATCCTCTAATCAGATGCAAAAAGAGGAAACAGAGCCCTAATGAGTTACTTGAGCAGATATCCCTCATCAGTTGGGGTAGTTTGCATACATTGCTGAATACCAAAGACAGTCAACTCATGCCCTAAATATTTGGCTTTAATAACAATGTGTGTCACATCTCAGAATAGTCTTCCAATTTTTAAATAAAATACAAATTTTGACACAGTATAACATATAATTTTAAAACATTAAGTCTATTTTGCTGTTGTCAAAGCACAATCAGAGTGTGATAAACATTAATCCTTTTTCTTCAGACATGGAAAGTACATGTATTTCAAGAGTAACCTATTCTATCAACGAATCTACAACATAAGAACTGTTTCCTCTCAAGTTTCAACACGGATGACTAAGAGCATGAAAGGAAGGGATGTCAACTGATCCTTAAAGTATGCCTCCAACTTTTGTCTGAACCAGAGTATTTTGTTAGCAGAAGCATATTACCCCAGTATAAAGGTTTGAGTGAAGAGCCAGATCCCATCTTTAACAACTTGTTCCAAGGAACACTACATGGACTGTTATATTTATACCCTATTTTTCCATTTGAACTTGATCAGCACTATTACTCACTTTTGCAATAAGCCCCCTAACTGAATTTCTTTCCTCTTCCAGTGTTGTAATTTCTCATAAATGGTTGAACTAAAACAAACATCCTTTCTTTATGAGAGTAAGAAAAAAGAATACTGTAATGGAACCTGTACTATTTTTCGATAAAGCTTCTTTGGTTTTCATAACTTTTACAGCCTTTAGTAAGCTATTCTATGCTGCCTCCTCCATCACAGTGCTTAAAGATACAACATAAATCACACTCTATCATATTTAATAACGCTTCACAGGGGTATCCATCAGTTGTCATTGCTGTTGTCCTGACAATAGTCCCATGATGCACATGTAAGTGTAGCTTCTTATCCATAATACACCACAGATCCTTTTCAGGGTCATGGAAAAACAGGATAAGCCAAATATTCACATGCTTTATTCCCAAAATGATTGCTTTACCTCTGGAACTGCCAAACAGGATATTTGCTTTTGCTTAGCTTACGTAGGTTCAGAGATTACTGTGTTGTAACTTAATGTTTGGTCAGTAACACAGACCTGAGATGTGAATACACACTGCACTGTAATATACTACAGCGGGAATAGACACAGCCTTTTCTACAGGGAGGGCTGAAGAAAAAGGAAACAGCACTAACTTCATGCATTTTTAGAGGCAGTTTTGCATCCAGTTCAAAATTCCATCTCATAAGAGGCAACATTTTTATTCATAATTACATTAAGACATTACATTAAGTGCACATGAACATCCTTGATGCTAGCAAGTTAAGAAGTATAATAAAACATATTATTCCCAAGAAGTTAATTCTGCCTTAGCTTTAAAGTCAGTGCTGCAGAAATATACCACAGAACTTGTAGAATTTATTTGATGCACTGAACCCATGAAAAAATACAGAATTCAGAAAAAGAAGCCTTTTGAATGTTTTAACACAAACAAGAAATAAACAGCTTCAAACAGGCAAGCCTGTCCAGTTTTACAGGCACTCTAACAGTATGTTGTGGCTTGCTTTGTCAAGCAGATTCTGGCTGTGCATCATTTCTGTAAATGAATGGAAAATGGAGAAACAGCACCAACATTAAGGGAACAGACAGCATATCTAGAAAAGTCTGCTGTCTTTTCATCCTTGAAGAAATGTGAAAGGCAGCATGAACAACTGAGCTAGACACTAAGTAAATACCTTAATATTATAATCAATTATCAGAGTCCTGCTGTAGCAAATTAGTACTGGGCATGGGAAATAGAAGTGAGGTTGGAACTTCTGACTGGGTAAGGCTAGAAACTGTAGACTTAACTATGGCACTGAAATAAAAGAACAAAAGCCTTATACTGGCTGCAGTCATTAGAACAAAGCTTCACTATAATATCAAAGCCAAAAGAAAAAAAAGAAGATAGTGGGCCTCATTCTACATGGTACTGGCTGGCATTATTTCAGTTCATTTCAAAAAAGATTATTTGTCTTTTCTCAAAATGTGAGACATTGTACTGCAGAATATCCAAGCAGTCACACAGTATTTTTACTCTTTAAGAACTATTTGCAACTGTAAGAATGGAAAAAAAACTTCTTAGAAATGCAAAATACTCCACCAGGGAGCTCTGCATTCATAAATGGAAAATTATACTAATTCTCTGTGCAAATTAAAAATGTATTAAGTTGAATGTCTAACAACTCCAGTTTTGGAAACTGAGTCAGTACAGTAAGCAGTTCAGATTTGTTAAGATAAACACTGAAATACAGCCATTTTACTGGTACAAGTATGAGTAAAGAGCATTTACTAAAATGCTGCTAAATATTACAGCCAATTCGGAGTTTATCGCAATATTTTTAAGGCATCAAATCCAACACTTCAAAGTTATGCAGCTACATGCTTTATTAGGTCAGAAAAGATGAGCAAAATTCTACTAAACCAGTAAAAAGGGGAGGGAATACTACTTTTCTGTAAAGTAGAGAGAATGTGCACACTAAATTTAAGGAGAAATAAAGTTGTATTTTGAGACTACTGTAAGCAAGCCTTAGAGAAATTTACTTTTCTAGCTTCTAGTCCAGAAATGGATTTTATTGCTTATTTTATTGTTTCCTCAATTGAGCTGATCAAGACATTATGTTGCTAGCTGAATCATCCCCTACATGCCTGTGCGATAGCCTAGGTTTGAGCTCTTGAAACTCAGCGTCAGGCTTTACCTAAACTAACACTAGTCCAGCCAAGTATCAATAAAAACAACCAACAGAACACTCACTTTGGGAAAAGTCTGACAGAAGCCCTGGCTCTTAACAGAAGATATCGAAGTACCATGCCACAATTAAATTAATATGTAGACATTTGACACCCAATAGAGCAAAAGACAAAAGCATTAAATGTATGTTATGACTCCAGGAAATTTTAAAACATACTGCCACAGTACCAGAGTTACAGGTCAGAACTGATTTGCCCAGTAATTTCAGATTCAAATTAAGAACATCTGCTTGGCTACAGCACCTCTTTCAGAAAGACATCTGCTATTCACTCAGGGGACACAGGGCCTTCCGGTGATCTTCAGTATCTTTCAAAAAGGGCTTTTCAATGAGTAATTAATTGCAAGTAGCTTTTAATTCAACAAAAACACACTGATTCTTGGGAAACTAATTTAGACTGCCAACTCTCTTGAAAAGACCTGGAAACTGCTGCAAGTACAAGCATCATCTGAAGACTTCTCAGTCTCTTGGCAGATAGAAATTAGCACCAGGTGTCCTGACTGGCACAAGCACCAAAAACAAACCCAATATGAAGTCCTTAAAACTCTGCCAGATTTTGAAACACCATCTGCCACTTAATCAGCTGTGATTTCCTCCTCTGCCATACGAGCAGACACATACATCAACATGCTCCGATAATTTCAACTTCTTATACAAATGTAGTCTACAATGGTACACAAAGACAGCTCACACCAACAGGTTATCTACAGTGACTGTTCCAGGAAAGGAAGGCAATGTGGGATTCTTCTATTTGGTTGGTTTTTTGGTTTTTTTTTAAGCTGCAACACATTATTTTATTCATTACTTACTTTGGCTAAAAAGTAAAAATTACACTCAAGTTTCATTTCCATACTTTTTTTTTTTTTTGTGTGTGTGTATAGTTCGAGCACCTCCTTAGGTTTCACTGGAAACAGAGGAATAGAACAGCCTTCATAGCCAGAAGACACGAAGCAGACAGAACCCAGGAAAATAGGATTTTTTCCATATTCCTTGAAACTAGAGTCAGTGATAGTCTACAGAATTATCCATTGTGCATCTGTTCTTCCCAGGAAAGGACCAATATACTAATATCATGTATAAACTTAATGAGAGTTGCTCCACAGAAAATATAAAGAAAACTCACCAGGACCCAAACAGGATAAGCTTTGGTGTACATTTCTTCCAGGAGTACCTTCAGAAAGGAAACAAACAAACAGAAATTATACTTCAAGCCAGTAAGGGGCACTAGTGCTGTCTTTTTTTAAGATTCAAGATTCTTTCCACATAAGCACCTCAACTTTGCAATTTCTGTTTCTTTCTTGTGACGGCTGATGACGTGAACTACAGCAGGATTTAGCACCATAAGAATCTGTTTGGAAAATGCAAGATGCATTCCAAATCACGATTATCCCATTACAATTATTATATTTCATTTAAGCCAGGTGACACTGCTTCACTTTAGTCATTCAAAAAGGACCACAGACATTGAAAAGCTATCATCTATACCAACATTATAGCAATTTTTTTCCTTCCATATGTTACAGTTAATTTATTTGCATAGAGGAGCAATAAATTAACAACATTCTCAAATGTGCTATCAATCAAGTTAGATACAAATGAAAGCACTGAGAAAGTTAACCCACCCTTACTGTATTACTTAAAAGTTATGTGAAAATTGACCTAAAAACTTTATTATTTTGAAGGATATTGAACGAAAGCAATCTGTTAGACTGCTGGGTGTAAGCGCAAAAGTCATGTGAAGAAGTTCTTAAAAGGTCTTCTGACAACACCTTTCTGCAGGCTTTAGGAATAGTGCAGATCCTATGGCACAGGTTTCATCAGGAAATAAAACAAACATCTGATACAGAAACATAAAGTAAATATCCTCAACAATCAGAACTGATCAGCATGCTCTTACAAGAACCTTGCTCAAATTAAACACAAACTTGGCAAAATCTAGTCTACACTGTGTTTTGCAAGCATACAATCTAAGCATCACAAGCAGGTTACAAAAAATCATTTAACAGACATATTAATTATTCTGTATTTTTAGTCCTCATGCCATGCAAGTTTCAAGCAGATAGTAGATAATGAATGTTCCTAAAGCAAATAGGTAAGGAACAGAACTCTGCAGAGCCAGTGTCCAATATGGTGAACTGCAAAGAGAATGAGCCAAGTATCTCAATTATTCTGAAATCATAAAGCATAGCTGCTCCTTCTCAAGACAGAGGGATCCAAGAAAAAGTGAAAAATTGACTAGCCAACAGCTGATTACCTCTAGTCTCACTGACTTTCCTTGCCAAGTGTAGAGGCCCAGATGATTTTGGTGTGCACTGGGTCAGTGAAGCAGACCTGGTCTTGGCTCCTAAAAGTAAAAGCTTAGATTAACTTCAAAGTAGAACTATGTTAGCAATTAAAGACATATCTTACATTTTTACATGTAAAATTTTTACAGTTAAGTACAAGATCCACAAATCTATTCAAACACAAAAAGAAACCTAGAACATTTAAGCTGTATTTAAACTTGGCTCTACTTTGCCAGAACTCACCTTGGAAGAAATAAAAAGATAGTTTTAAAAGCCTTCTAAGCAGAAGAAAACATTAGTAAAGATTTCATTTTAGCACTAAGATCAAGTTACTTAAGTCTCAAAACAGCAGCAAATACAATGGAGCTAAGGAAACAATGGTTGAAAGAGACCTCCAAACACCAGATATCCACACTCCCACTCAGAGCAGGGTCACCATCAAGATGAGATCAGCTGACCATGCTTTTGTCTGATGAGCCTTGCAAACCTCCAGGAAAGGTGGTTCTGTGGCACCAGGATGCACCTCCCACTCTACATTTTGCAAGCATCTCTAATTGCTACAACATCTGGTGCTACTGAGAAGAGTTTGGCACCACAACCTTTACAGCTGTCCTTTTCAAGTTATTGACTGCACAGGCTAAACTCCCTCAACCTCTTCTCACTGGACACAGACCACAACCATCTTCCTAAGTCTCCACTGGATCTTTCCAGTTTCAAAACAACCCTGTTGGTCTAGGAAGGACCCAAAACACAACACCATAGTCCAGGTTAACACTGATCTGAAGGGGCACACCAGTTTCCTTTGGCCACACTGCTCCTGCAGGTGCTGAAGGCCCACTGCAGGGTCACTGAAGATGACAAGGTATGCATAGCTGTGCTGCATGTGCTGGACCCCAACAGAAAGCACCAGCTTGTCAGAAAGCCATATGACTCATGTTTGTTTCAAAGTGACTAGTAATTTGTGGCAAATTCTGTTTCTTTTCACTGTTTACTTCTTTAAAGTGTGTCATTACAGCGAGACATTTGTCAGGCATCTTTTATTCTCAATTATGTCAGATACCAGCTTAAAATTTAAGTCTAATGCAGGAGTACAGCATTTAATTAGGTTTATCCAATTACAATAACCAGTTCACCACAAAGATGTTCAGAAGCAAGCTGATTACAGCTAGGATTTAGGAAAGAGACACAGCAAGCTTATTTATCTGCTTCCATTATGTCTTTAATTTTGGTCAGAGAATGACTTGTCAACTGGTGTTTGTGGCTTGAGTGGAAGACACACAGTTGGCCAATCAAGAGTTCCCAGCTCAAACCGAAATAGAACCTGACCAATGTTTAATACGAAGTCAGGAAGTACATTTAGCATTTCTTCTAGAACAAGATGAAAAAACTCAATTAATTGTCTTGTCTCCATTAAAGCTTCTAATTCAGCCTGTAAGGAGAATATCAAGAAAAAGCAACATGAAAAGCTAAGTTTCTGTGACTCTTCCCTTCAAAAGATAGGACAATGTCATTGATCTACAGAAGAAGATACATTCTAACTATATCTTATTCAAAAATATATCCTCATCCACCAAGGCCCTTTCAGTCCTGAATGGGGTGAAGATAACATGAAGACATAAAGACAAGAACAACGATATACTCAGGATAAATTCAGAGTATGCCTATTCTCCAGATTACTAGAAGTTAATCTGGGCCCTGAATGTTCTGAAAGAAAAGAACACTTTTTAAAACAACACAAGCCCCATGTGATGACACCTGTCAGTTGTAAGGTGCATTTAGTCCCTGTACCATGTAAACCTGAGCTGAACCACAGTTCAGATCTCTTCATTTCCCTGAAGTACCTTTATCAATTACAGCAATACAAAGAATATTTTAGCCTTCCTATGAAGTCCTACAACACTTGAAGCACCACTAATGTGATTGTACCTCTGTCTACAAACAAACTCATGTACCTTTGGGAGTTGACCTCAACGAGTGCAACCTAGGTCTTGGTAATGCTTTCAAAGGGACAGACCCCGAAGCGCCATTCTGGCAGGCTGGTTTTGAAGGCCATTCTCCATTCCTGATGACTGTGGCACTTGCAGCTGCAAAACAGAATCACAAAGAATTTGCTCTAGGCATATATAGTTTAGAGAAAATTAAATCATAAGACAAGTCAGTTTTACCAGAGACTAAAGGACCTTGAAAGAGGTTTGAGTTTATGACCACAATGGAAATTTTTCCTTGAAAAATAAAAAACTGTAATTTTGGGAAATTATTGTTTCAATTATCCAGAAAATATATGAATATATTAAAAACTGTAATTTTGGGAAATTATTGTTTCAATTATCCAGAAAATATATGAATATATTCAATATATGAATATATATTCTAAATATATTCAAGTACAGATGGAGTAGACTTTAGTTTGGGCACTAAAAAGTGATGTATACTAACACATTAAAGAGTAAGAATTCACATGGCATTTACTAGAGACAAGAAAAAATTATGTCTAGAGACAAGAAAAAATTATGTTGCTGTAGAATTGTTTGTCACAGTGCTGCTTTTCTCTCCAGTCATTTGGATGAAAAAAAAAAAATAAATAAAAAGGAGGGGGTGAGGCTTTTGTCATATATTACCAGGTTTGCCTCAGATTAGTATTTTAATAGGACTGGGTTTTTTTTAAAGGCAATGTGAATTATATGTCTAATATTGCTCATCAAAAGATGGAACCTACAGTCTTTAGATTATTTTATTGTCTTTAAATAGACTAGCATAAACCATGTAAGTTAACTACTTCAAAAAGCTGCTTTTTAGCCACTAAATATTTTCTGCCACAGAAAGAGGATTTCCCTTTAAGAAACACATGCAACTGAAGCCATCATCTTTTTTTAAAAAAAGGAAGTTGGAGCCTTCCTAAATACACAAAAGCTAAATATTTCCCAAAAAAAATCTATACACAAGAGGCAATTTGCATAACACATCAGTAACACCGTTATTCTGTGGGAATCTGACCCTGATCAGCATTAGATAATTAAAACAAATTTGTTTTAGTAAAGCACAAGGTGTGAAGCAGTCCATAACTTTTTTTGTAAATCACTAAATTAAGGATGTTTGTTCTGAGTTCACTGCAAGCAGTTAACAATTGCCTGCAAACTAGTGTGCTACTTCCTCTTCTAAATAAGCAGCACACCATGGAAGTAACACTTTGGGTGTGCAAGCAGTCTTCTGGTGCAGGACTAGTTAGGGCACTGCTCTGTCCTATTAGAAACTCTGGAGTCAGCTAACCAGGCTGTGTGCAGGAAGCAAAACAAAACAAAACAAAACAACCCCACCAAAACCTCACAGGTTTACAGAGTTTGAACACTTTCAGATTCAAAGCTGTTTATTCATTGAATTCAGAGCAGCTACTGCAATCCTAAATAAAGATGGATAGGAATGAAGTGATCTCAGCCCAGTAAAGATCTGAAAACTCAACTCATTAGAAGGATTTCAATGAAGGACTGACTGTACAAAAATGCAGATGCAGGTCAACTACTAGGATCAGCTTTTTAACTTGTGAAAAGCCACTATTTACTATATATGTAATTATTCTAATGCAATTAAAATCTGGATTCTTTTTCTTAACCTCAGAGTCAAATATTTTGGTATGTTCAAAAGATAATATTTTCAGCTCAGCACTAAAACTGAGATTACTGTTAGAAATATATCTGGTTTTCAATGCTCAAACTGACTGCATACAAAATATGCTTTTAGTAACAACAACAATTCAAACCTCATGATTTCTGAACTTCTCATATAAGAACTCATTTTAGAGAAAAGAATCATGAAGTTCAAGTGCTCATTAGAAAAAAAACAAAAACAAACCCCAATGTTTCCACATGGAATTACCAATCCAAGGACATCCCATAACAAAGGGCTGAGCTGACAAAGCAGGAGAAATGCTTTCTTGTCATTTTTTTTTTCTCTGCTAACAGAAGACAAACTGCAAACAAGCCAAGAGCCTTTTTGATTTAGTGTTCTTGACAGGATCAGAGTAGTTTGTCATACATTTCATGGCACACACAGTACATGCCTCCCATTCTGATCTTTGTGTAGTCCACAACCTAATAAAAACACTTCAACTTTGCAATTTTTTTTTTCTGACATTATTACAGAGTAGACTAAATGAAAGAATAAAAAACAGGAACAGCACTGTACTTAGCATTAGAACACAAAATAAATTCCTTAGTTCTTTACAATTTGATTCAAAGTAATAAAAACTTCACTAACATATTAATTACATATAATATTAAATCATTATTCTCACAAAACCTTACTATCACATATAAATAATTCTCATCAAGTGTAAAAATTCTCTAAAGAAAAATAATTTCACAGAAAATCAGCAGATCAAAACATTGCATATATTTACCAACCTCCACAAAACAAAATACATGCTTTAGAATAGAAATAAAAGGAATACAACCTACTTCTCTTCCCAGTAAACGTGGCTAACAAAGGAACAATACAAAAGCTGTAAGACCCCACTAGCAGCAATGTAAGTAAGGTAATATCATAGTGGCTTCCTGAATCAGTCGGTGGGGTTAGTGTAGAATTGAAGAAAATAATAGGAGAAAAATTAGTTTCTGTGCAACTGCGGAGTCCTCCTGGTATAGTCATTTAAAAAAGATCTAAGCAAGCTTAAAGTCTACGAGACTGCAGCCATGTTCAACCTCTCATATTGCTCTTGCTTGGTCTTCGTGAATCGGAGTGGAAAAAATTGTAAGCTTGAAGGCAGTGGACAAAACAGATTACAGCAGCTAGCAAATCAGGCTAAATAAGGAGTCATCTGTTTGGATACTTAATCTGAATACACTCCTTTGTCATGAAGCGATGACCCCTTCCTTTGTTACATGAGGGAGCAAAACGAAGAGAGGACAAAGCTGCTTAGCAATTTCAGATACAGTCTGAAACCGGAACAGCAAAAGTCAACATGGCTGTCACAGTATCAGAACCGATCTCATTACAGAGCAAGAGGCACATGCATATTTTATTACACATACTCTTATTCATTTGAGGAATATGTTAGGTTTCAGTTTAATAAAGGCAGTACAGGGTGGGGGGAGAAGAATAAGAGAAAATGTAGTTATGTGTGTTTGCATATGCGCATATATAACACAGACATATGTTAAATCACAGTTCTCTTTTTCAGCCCATTGAAGACAGATTTAAGTGACATCTGGCACAAATAAAAGGCCTTTGCCCAGACTTCAAGATATAACAGGTGATATGATAGTGGCAGAATATTTGAATGTACTTATTTGAATATACATAGCTGGGAATACTAATATGTCTGAGACTCAGCTGTATGTTATCTCCCTTCATATTTTTTCCTCTCAGAACTCCTAAGAAGTGCTGTAGGACTTAAAAAAAAGGCAAGTCTGGTATTTTGCTCACTAATTTAAATCAAGATTGATTTGGTTAGGTCATACACCAATGTTTACAGCTACCTCAGAAATTACAGAAATCTACCCGTGCAAAGATTCATCTTCTAAAGCAAATTTCATTTACATTCCTGTAATTTCATCTACATATTTTGTCCTAGAATTCTGAAAGCAGATATAAACCTGTTCAAGAAAACATATAGCATCAAAAAATCCTGTTACATACTGTTCCAAATATTATGACAAGTAAACCATTCTGTTCAGACATATTACACTACATGTAAACACTAGGAAACTTTTGCTTAAGAAGACATGCTGTTTATGTAATGTTTCAGGATGGAAGAGATGTTGTACCAAAATCTCCAGTCATCAACCCAAAATCCAGGGCTCAAAGCTCCTTCAGGCAGTACATCACAAAAAGGTAAGTTCTAAGTAAAGAGACAAAAAGAGCAAGATCTAGAACTAACAAGTAGTACAATCAGAATTAACAGAGGTACTTGTGAGACAGGACTCACTTCCAAGAGGACTTTTACGAACAATCAAATGATGTTTGCTTTCAATCAGCCAAAACTCATAACCCTCACATATACTTACAATTAGTGCTGAAAAGACTTTGCTCACTCTGAGCACTGCTGACTGATGAGAGGCTAGGTGTTCTTTCAAGCACTGATCTTTTGACAGGCACTTTGGATTTGGCAAGGGATTTACCAAAACTAGTCCACGAGGATGGAGAATTTTTCACTGATGCATGCTTCTCTCCTGGCAAAGATCCTACACCTGTCAATGAGGGGGGGAAGAGGAGGGAGAAATAAGAACAGAAGGAGTAGGAAAGAAGCTTAAATGATTGATTCTTTTACACGTATGCCTACAAATAAAAATATTTACATGGTAAAAAGCCATATAAAATGGCTAAATCTACTTCCTCTTGACATGCTAAAAAGTGCTGCAAATGCAGAAAAACAGTTCCAAGGACTTAAAGCCCTAGAAACGAGTCAAGAGCTTAATAGATTTAACTTCAGTGCAGACAGCTGCACACACAAAAAAAGCCTTTTTTTGCATTTTTCTACATCACATTATGGTTCACTGTACTGGCAATCCCACAAAAATCTAACCTCCATTTCAAAGACAATCTAAAAAAGGACTCTTCTGTTTATTCCTCCCCAAAACAGATCCACAACTCCACTCCCTTTTGACAGGGCACTCTATAAGATAATAAACTTTCAAGGAATAAGACAGCATTAGAGTATCAAATGGCTTACTACACATATAATATCCTGAAAACTGAGTAGTTCTACAGAACTAGTTTAACACTAGGACTTCCAAAACCAAGTTCTTACTGGTCAGCTGGTGCAAAAACATTTTTGTATTACATCCAGTTTTCATTTGAGCATGTTGAATACAAACACCCAACAGCAAAGTTGTACAAATAGGAAAAGCCCCTATACAGGAGGTAGGCATAGGAGGAGGTCACTCTTGGACTAGTAAAAAAGTAAATACACTTTCCATAAAATCTGAGTTTAGACAAATGAAGCTTTTAGTTTATTTCCTGAAAAGCTTTAAGTTTATTTCCTGCACCCAGATGAAAATTTCAATGGCCCAGAGAAGTTATATACACACAGACTCCTCTTGCCAGCTCTGAGCTGACTCCTGTCAGCCCTAGTACCAAGATCTTAATAGAGCCTTCTGAATATGGATAAGACGTTTTCATTTTTGTACAAAACAGATGTGGAAGACAGACTTACATTGTTCTAGAAAATATTTTTTTATTTATTATAATAAAATCTAAAATATGTTAATTTCGTATGTCACATCCATTTTCAAGGCTGACAGTTTACCTTAACAGAAAAGAAGCAACTACAGTGTCTCAGTTTTGACTTAGAATAAGCAAATTTCTATTTAAAGGGAATACCCTTTAACAAAAATTAGCTAGTAATTTCACCTTAAGCAACACTAGTTTTACTACAGGATTTCTACTCTTAAATACTAATGACCAAGAAACATTCAATTTGCACCAAACCCAGGAAATCATGATATTAAGGATATTGCATTAAATTTTAGACACGAAAAGTACACCCAATATCTGTCTTTCAACAGTAGGTGGTGTGACAGGATTGGATAACTTGTCTCGAAACATCCTGTATCAAGTATGCAAAACCAGGAACAGGACTGGTAAAGGAAGGTCTGTCCAAGCTACTTCCCTCAGTTCAGATCAATTCAGAAACAAAGAGAAACCTCACTTACAATATATTACTATATATAAAACCTGCATTAGCATATTACATACTTCTGGTACAAGCTTTGCATCAGATCTCTCTTCACAGGTGTGTTTTTACTACCTGTCATTAGTATACAGAACTGTGATTCTCTATATAGCTTTACTGTAGAGCCTGGTATTAAACCTCTGAGGCAAAATCATCAGCCATATTTCAGAATTTTTGAAAGTTACTGAAAGGGACAATTGAATGTACGGAACATGCTAAAGAGTATACAAGCTTTGTTTTGCTATGAGAATACCACAAAGCACAAATTCACACTTTTTAAAAACACCTCTGAAACAGCATTCCAGACAACGTAACAAAAATAATTTTATGTGTTTGACCAAAAAAAGTTTCTATCACATTTGCATGTCATAGAACAAACCTGACAGCTTTAGAAAACTTTCTACAATGTTTCCTAAAATCTTGTTTCATTAATGGGTCAACATACCAGAAAAATCCAAACCAAGGAATTGTCCAAACCAAGTCAGGAATTCCTTTTGTAAATAGTCTCCCAGCTAAACAAGGTACAAACCCAAACAACTGCCCCAAAAACAAACAGAAAAGAGTGTCACTGTACAAACACTGTGTGTTGGGTTTGTTTGACTTAGTGAGTTAATGTTCTACGCTACAAAAGGGAGCTAGAGGAACAAATGCATTTTATCAGCTGTATTTGGTTACTTAAAGATGAAGGTAGCATGTTTGATTGCTATCATGCTGGACTCGTTCATCCAGTCCAAAACATACAGGAACAAAATCCTGTTTTCTTTACTGTGATTTTTCACCCAAGAGGAGTCAAAGTAAGCATGTGAGATGCAGTCTCGTCTAGTACAGCATGTTCCCTATATGTGATCTGCAGCAAGCCCATCTTCTCTGCAGAGGATGGAGTGTGGTGGTGCTCTGAACTCAAACCCATCCAGTGAGCACAGAAATCTCTAGGATATCCAGTTTCAAAAGCAGGTCAAACAGATGACCTTTTCTCTTAGTTTTTCTGCTGCTTGGTGCTTTCCTCTAATGCTTCCATTAAATAAATTACTCAAGCACTTAAATACATTTTTCAAAAGCCCAGCTTGAGAGATAATTTAAGTCATGACACAAGATCATTAAGCAACCATTCTAGGTATTAATTCAACTAATGATTTTGAAGGTTTTTTTGTAAGTACTATTACCTATGAAAGGAGTTACCCAGAATTAAATGTAAGGGTTTTGAAGACAGAAGCAGGAAGATATGGAATACAAACAAAAGTATTGGAAATGAACATAAAAGCAGGATATTTAGTCAACCATTATTATAAAGACAACAAGCAGTAGCATCAAAGTAACAGGCTTTCATCAGTTATTTAATCTAGTTCCACTGAAGTGGGATACCAGAAATACCACATTCCTCTACAGTGAACTAATGAGTTGGCAATTCTTTAGGAAAAAAGTCTCCATGCAACAACCATGTTACTTGAACTATGTTAAAATCTCTCTTGTATTGGAATGGAAATAAGCAAAGAACAAAGCTCATTCTTCAAGAAGCTCTGAAGTCAGCTTTCATATCCTTACTCAAATAATCATCCTTTCATATCAATCCATCATAGGTGGTTATTGTCAAGAAAAAGGTAAGGCTTCATTTAAACAGCACTGGAGCCTTAAAAACCACACATTGACAGAATGTTGACATGAGGCAGACTGTAAAGCCAAATACGTATTCACAAATTCTGAAATTTCATGTCCACCATTTCAAAACACATCAGCACATTTTACATCTAGAGCTGAACACCGAGCAACTGTCATTCACAGACTTACGCAACACCTGGAAATGAGTGGTTGGAAGCCTTTTCCAAACAAAAACTTTTAGCACACAAAGTACAAAAGGAGTCTTTTGAAGGATTCTATTTGCTGTTGCTGCTTTTGTTTAAACCTAAAGCTAACACTAATAGTTGGTTTGGCCCTTCAATGCCTAACCTCTTGAAAATGTGGAATTTTGGATTTTTGCCTTATGCATTTCTGATTTTCCCTGTGAGTTTAAAAATCCAAAGGGCTCTGTTTTAAAAATGCTAAACTTAGCTGGCGAAAAAGCCCTGTGTAAGCCAACAGTACAAGGTCTTGATAAAGCACAGGGAGTAAACCTTCAAGAAAACATGCTATTTTTTGGCATCTATTGAAAAGTGCAAGTAAATAATGGAACAACAAACTGGACTTTGGTATTGTTTCCAGCAGACCAATATTAACCTACACGTAAGAGTGCTTATGTTTGCCATTTTAAACAGTGAAAAGCAGTAGCAATACTAACAGTTTTCTGATGGCTGCAAGCTCCCCAGTTTGCCTGATAGCCATTCAGCATTATTAACTATCTTTTATGCTATACATGTATCAGTGTTCCTTCAAGGAAGGAAGGCTGGTTACAATATGTTTCATAATTCTAAGGTAATATCTTTCTAATTATCTTCCCCTTTTAAAGTTTCTAATTACAAGCAAAATTACCAAAAAGACGGGACAGTTACATAATGTTGCTATGAATGCTCAAATGTTTATGTTAAACATGGACAAAAACAGGGAATGTCAAGTTATTTCTGTGTCTTGAAATATTTATAGGAGAGAAATTCACTCATTTAGCAGATAACAGTTGATCAGAGAACAGTTTATATACTGTCAAGATTCTATTCTCCATTGATACAGACTCCCACAACATTCTTCCCATTCCCCTACAACCCTTAGACAGATAGTAAGGAACCAGCAGTAAGTTAGTGCCAAAAACAAACTAGGGTGTCAGTAGCCATGCAGGTAGGTGTTTACACGCTCTTCCCCTTGCAGTTAAACAGACTAAAACTAAAGAATGGATGATCACTACTACAGAGCATTTTAAGCAGTGATCCACAACCAAAACAACCCTTTTTTTTCCCCTCAAATGGTCCTAAAGTCAGAAAAGTGATTGGGGTGTTTTCAATTAGAGGAAAAGAGAGGAAGAGTAGTGTCTCATGTATGTCTAATGTTAAATTTCTCTTTTGTCCCTCCCTATCTTGTCCAATTTTGAAATGTGACAGATTTCCTCCCAGTTAAACCCTTCCACAGTCAGAGACTTCTCCCTTCCTCATCTTCCTTTCAACCCCTTGCACGATGACCTCTCCAGCACACCTAGAAACAGCCCTTCTTTTCCCTGGCCTCAAGTTTGAGCTCACACCCATTCTCTCACCTCCTGTCTGCCCATAATGATGCCTGCTGGATTTAGTCTATTTTTTCTTTTGTAGACTGAATTAGAGCAGGCCATGAGAGACCATGTCTGCACAGTCATGCTGCAATCTCCTGTGACTCCAGGGAAAGCCTGTCTTGGGACAGCAGATAGTTTTACACCAGCTTCCCAGGCACAGTGGCAAAGCTTGCCCACTCTGGTTTTGCCAGGGGACTCTCATAGGCTGCATGCTGACTTAAACAACACAATCCCAACCACTAGCTTTAACACAGCTATGGTAAAGCTCTGTCTGTTCAGGAGTACTGGGCACAAGAAATCTAATCAATGTACTGCATGGTAAACTGAGG